GAGAGAGAGAGAGAGAGAGAGAGAGAGAGAGAGAGAGAGAGAGAGAGAGAGAGAGAGAGAGAGAGATTAACATGGAGGTCGGGTAAGGGATTGAATGTCGTCGTGTGTGGGGAAGGGCAGGATGACAACGGACAGAGTGGGAAAATCCGACACGACGAATTTCAAGTCGAAGAGAGGCAACGTCAAACAGAGAGGATAAACCGTAACGGGACAGTGTGTATTACTGTGTAAGACAAACGAGCGGAGGGGGTCGGTGGGGGCGGAGATAGTCTGACTGAGCCATCCGGTCCGCGATGGCCCATTGGATCAATCAACCCCCCCACCAGCTCTCCCCCACCTGCCCACCCCCCTTCCCCAGTCTTTCCAGCCATGGCTGTGTCCTGATATGCTCCCGATTTATTGTAGTATGAGGTTGACGTCATCACACTTTGCCTGTCAATCCTTTAAGCCCGCACTGAGGGATCCAGCTCATCCCATTGATGAAATCGACGGTCAGGAACGGCTTGGCCTGCGCGTCAGTGAGCTGACGCGACCAGTTCACCCGGCGACCGGTCGCTGCCCCCGGACCCGTGTTCTTGTACTCTCCGTAGAAGACCGTCAGCTTCTTCACGTCTTTCCCCCAGTCGTTCCATCCCTTGGGTTGGACCATCTCGCTCAGATACGTGTAAGCGAAGACAGTGCGTGCCGCATTTCCCCACGGCCGGCCCAGGTAGACAAGGCCGTTGCCGTTCACTTTGCAGCGCAAGAAGACGAAACCAGTGGTCGACGTGGCGGTCCCTCTGAGCTGCGCGGTCAAGTAGCCGCCTTTGTCGATGACGTCAGCGTAAAGATCACTGTCGAGGAACATGGCCGTGCCATCTCCGAAGATGAAATCCACCGACCCCCGAACATAGCAGTTCTTGAAGTAATGCCTCCCTCGAAGAGAGAGCAGAGTATCTTGGTAGCCCGTGAACCTGCAGTTGTAGAAGGCTGCCTGATCGCCTTCGATCCGGATGGCCACAGCCTGCCCGTTGCGACTGGATGTGTCTGGGCGTGGGGCGCCATTGGCGAATTCGATGTCTTCAGCGCTGAAGAAATTGCCTGTCACCGAGACGCTCGCCGACGCCGGTGTGCTTCCTGTCGCGGCGTTCGTATCGCTGTAAGTCAGCTTCGTGAGATACGGCCCCTCCCCTCGAAGGGTCACGTAGGCTTTGCTCACCACTACCTTCTCCACGTACGTCCCCCGCTTCACCAACACTACGTACCTCTTGTTGCCGGGGGCGTTGTTCACCGCGGCTTGGACGGTCGTGAATTGGCCAGAACCGTCTTTAGCGACAACAGCGTCGACTCCAGGGATGGAAGAAGAAGAAGGAGGTCGGGCATTCCGCGAAGCGGTATTGCCAGGTGCAGGAGAGAGAGATGAAGCCGGCTGCTGAAGCTCCCTCCTCCCTCCCAAGGGAGAAGAAGGATGAGGAGGAGCGTGGAGCTGATCACCATCAAGAGCAGGCTCAACAGTAAGTAGGCTTCTTCTTCTTCTTCTTCTTCTCCGCCTCCCTCCCCCAGTCATTGCGACCTGTCCTCCTGCTCCGCCTTCGACTGCTACGACTCCCGGCGTGCCGCTCGTCACACCTGTGTCGCCCGGGCCTCCGAATAACGCCAGGACTTCCGGAGGCACAGGCGCCGATGGACTGCGTGATCGAGCTTGAATTGACCATTGCGCTAGCCACGACTCGAACAAGTTCACCTCGTCCGGCGATGGCGGACTGTAAGCGGACGCCAGTCCAGCTTCTTCAGCGGTTAATGGTGATGCGGATACGACAGCCGTTGCTTGCGCCGACACTCTCCACGACTTGCTATCCATCGCAAGCGCTAACCAAACAGCTGTCGCCGTTATCACCCACATACGGAGCCTAGACAGCGCCATCCTCTCCTGATCGTTGCCGCTCCCACCAACCACCCTGTCTCAGAAAGCGATGAAATCTCTCTCTCTCTCTCTCTCTCTCTCTCTCTCTCTCTCTCTCTCTCTCTCTCTCTCTCTCTC